TTTACAGTTTTGGGGTATTATAAATAATTTTTTCAAGCACATTTTGTATATGTATTCTGGAAAAATATATGTGAGAGTTTTTTTTAAAAGATCTATACCTAGTAGTATAATTTCTGGGTAACAAAGTCACAGTCACTTTTTGCAAGTCTCACAGAAAAAAAAAATGTCAGATGACACAAATGATGTATATTGTGCATTTTACCTTGAGATTAGAACCGTTGGTTTACAACCACATACAGGTGGTTGACCAAAAAGGCAGTCTAGGTTGATGGGGACAGGAGTGGGGATGGGATGAGAGTTATGTAAGATGAAAAGGGGTCAAGATTTATGTGATAGGTTAGAATGTCTCCAGGAAGGAAATATGTGAGTAAATTTTGTGTCATTATAGTTCGGAGTCCCACAGTTTTTCAGGAATTAATAGCATTCTTTACACTAGTTGTTCTCCATGTGAATCTGTAACAATGGTTTATGTTTTCTCTATATTACGGAGGAGAAGTTTGGGCAGCTGGGGGACAATTGACTGATCCTTGGCCAAATGATAATAAAAGGGGGCACAGCTCTTCTAGGACTGAGATTTTCATTGTCCCTTTCTAAAAAGCAGAAGGGAGGTACTAACACTCTACCAAAAAAGAAGGAAAAGAATCTTGTCAGAAATGGAGAATGGGAGAACATTTATCCAAATTAAAGGCTGTATCTACTGAAAGCAATGGTGGCTATAAGAAGATGGGTGTAGCATAACAACCCGAGGCATTTTGGGTTCCTTTGCATATAATTGTACAGAATGTGCTCTAAGTGGGTTAGTGAGCTATAATCAAACATGGTAGAGTTGAAGAACGGTCTCTGTGTGTTCTGTCACATGGTTGCACTGCACTGAGGCGTCCTGCCAAGACGGCTACAGGAATTGTTTTTCATGTGCTCTGGCTGATCTCAAAGACAAGGCAGAAGGGTTGATAGCTTAGTGAGTTATTTTTCCTGACTCTCTGAGGAAGTTGAATATTTGGGAATTTAATACAGTTTCGCTGGCTTGTGTTGATCTTTGGATACCATATTAAGATCACATCAGGATAATGAGAGAAGGATTAAGGAACTACTGGTTTCATTTGGGATCATGTCAGATAGGGTTGTTTTTACATCTGGCAGGTACTTCCCAAATTGAATAAAGTAGTATTTGTGACAGGCTGTAGTGGAGGATGCTGGTAACATGCAGAACCAAACCTTAAATTTGCGTGCTATTATGACTTCTATTGGATGTGAAGATTGGTAGGTTATCGTTTCCACAGATGTAAAGTGAACTTATTATTCACTGTACATCTAAGTACCTTATTGTCTTGATTTCTTGTCTTATTTCTGAATGGTCCCAGAATGTATGGAAATGGTGATGGGTTTTGTAGTTTTGCTATTATGCCTTTCCTGGAAAACAAAGTGAGCTTTTCATGCTTGAGTAAACACATTGATGTATTATGAAACTGTCAGACTCTGAACAATTGGCATAAGCTCAATTATTCAAATATGTGACTCTATTGAATGGCTTTTGTGCTGGCTGATGCTTTAGTACAGGCAGTATAAAGACGTTTTAATATCTTTCCTTAAGAAATTAAATCTCAACTGCATGAGTAAAGAAATCCAAAGGATTAGTCCTTTAGTTGAGCACTTTCCTCATTATCTTGTATAGCTAATTGGTAGCATTCATTTGCTGAGATTTATAGTTCATTTTATTTTTTTAAAAAATATGGTTTTTAAATTAAAAAGTCATTCATGCATTATCCTTGTCACCTAACATAACTGCTTTTTTCTTCTTTGTTCTCTTCCTGTCAGTCCACATGCACATATGCTTTTTAAATGTAGTGTATCTGCAATTTTGTTTTCTTTTTTAGTTATATTTGCATGGTAAATCTTTTTCAAGTTCTGTGGTCTTTATAATATTTATTTTTATTGTTGCATAATATTGAATTATTTAATAATATGCAATCATTTTTCTTCTTTGAAATGTATGTTTTCTAGTTTTTTATTTTTACACATAATAGTGCAAAGATGTATTTGTGCATTATTTTCAGTTATGAGGACAGATGCCCAGAAGTATTTCAGTGGACTTGAAAAGATTTTTTTCTTTTATGTATTGCTCAATTGCTTTCCAAGAGGCAATTGTATGATTATATAAATATGCAATCTTTTTTACCCACCCAAAAAAGAAAGATGAAGACTATTAAATGTTAGCATCCTACAAAATTAACATTTGGAGTATCCTGGAATCTCAGTAGAGACTTCTTCATTTGTAAATTCAATTTCCATTTTTAGCAGAGTAATGTATGCAAATAGTTTAAAAAATCTAATAAGCTGTTTAGTGTGACAATGAAAAACAGCAACCTCTTGCCTCCTTCCCCACTCCAGTTTCTGGCTTTTGACTATTTCTGCGAATATTTGCCTCCATGTTGCTAAATGACGTACTTTTGCGGCTTGATTTTTTTTCCTCTTTGAGTTATTTATGGATTTCTTTTTATGGAAGATGAGGCTTTAGTTCTTATAGTTTCTTTCCCATTCTCAATATTGACATAACATAAATTTTGGTTTTACCAATATAGATATTATAATGTTATGACTGTAAGTATTGTTCATAATCAGATTTTATATTATGATTATATGTTCTTTCACTTTATATTTTCCCTGGAATTAATAACCCTCTTTCCTTTTGCTTGCTTTGTTCTCTCTATGCCTATTTCTGATTTATCACCAAACATTCTGAAAGAGTTGTAAATCTCCTTTGATGCTTCCAAACATATCAGATAATTCCTCAGGTGTGTTTTTATTTATTTTTTCAAAACTTCCCTCTGGGAGCTGCCATATTTTGCTCCAGTGTAGATGGTTTGCTCTTGGGGCCTGATGTTCAAGCTACATCTTGGAATTCCCTTCATGATTTTATCCTGGGAATTTCCTTTGCCTTTCTTTGTTTTGTTGATTCTCTGTTTCCTGGATCTCAGGTTGTTTTTCTTTTAAGTTTATTTACATATTTTGATGGAGTCCTGAGAAAGGTACAAGGAAACTAAACTTTTTGATACCATGTGTGACTGAAATGTTTTTATTCTGTAATCATACTTAATTGATAGTTTGGCTGGGTATACAATTTTAGGTTGGGAATAATGATTTTTTAGGAATTTTGAAGGCATTGCTTCATTGCCCACTTACTTTCAAGGTTCCTTTTGAGTCCAGTGCCATTCTGATGCCCAATTCTTCGTTATGTTCTTTTTCTTTTATTTCCTGTCTCTGGAAGCTTTTAGAATCTAATTTCTGGAGTATTCCTTGGTATGTACTTTTTTATTCATTCGTTTTATTGGTTACATGGTGGGTCCTCTCAAACCAGAAAAAGCATGTCCTGCAGTTCCCTGTATTTCTCTCTTTGAACTATGAATTACTTTGTAGTACCTTGTGAACTGGTCCATTCATTTTCTTCTCTTTTTTTCTTCTATTTTCCCATCTTTTCATCTTTTTATTCCACCTTCTGCGGACTCTACTCACTTTATTTTTCACCTCTTTTATGGGATTCTTTTATCAATGCTACAGTATTTTTCACTTTCTGAAAGCTTGTTTCTAGTTCTTCTAATTATGCTTTTCATGGTGTTGTGTTGCTTCATCTGTGATTTCTCTGAGGATATTAATTATATTTTGGTTGAGGAAGTTTTTTTCTGCTCCCTGCATCATGTTTGTTTCCTCTGAGATGTGGGGTGTGTGTGTATGTGTGTGTGTGTGTGTGTGTGTGTGTGTGTGTGTATGTGTGCACATTCTCTTTCTTGCATGTGGCAGTGGAGATCAGGGGAGGTGGGCCTGTTTGGAAGCTCCGTGTGTTGGTTAGGCATATAACCTGAAGCTTCTCTATAGGAAGATTGGTGTCTGCAAGTCTGTGCTCATGCCCAGGAGCTGGGCTGCGGGGAGAAGAGAGGGCGGGATCTTACTGGCCAGGCTTTGACTCAGTCCCCTGTTTTTAGCAGGGTTACGTTACCCCTCCCTTCAGCTGTGCTTAGGTGTGTTTGGACTTACCTCTTCTGGAGAGGAAATTTCCAGGCTCCTGCCTGGCTCTGCAGGGTAGAGAAGAGAATATGGCAGTTTAATTGTTCTTTATATAAATTTTCAATCAGTTCTTCTTTCCTCAGAGGTACATGGACCTAGTTTATTATTGGCTACTCACCCCACAGGCTTAAATTCCAGCTTTGTTTCGATTTGTTGGTTGGTTACCATTCATCCCTCTTGTTTTCTAGCTTAAAGGATTTTGTTGCATAACTAGTTTGCTTTTTGTACTCTTTCATTTTTTGTCTTCATGGGCTTATTTCACATTATATTTATGTTCATGTGAATTCCTTTAGTGTCATTTTAATACAGTTTTTAAAAAGTGTGGGGAAAGAACACATACTCAGTCTGCCATGGTTGATGGAAGTATCCAGTGCAGACTTTTTAGATTGGTCAAATATATATTTTTTGCCTGCACACATTTGTGGGATATTTATTATACTTTCTGATATATAGTAATTTCTTTTAAAAATGTCTTTTAAAATATTTTTAAAATATTTTAACATTTAAATATTTAAAGATATTTTAACATTTAAATATTTAAAAATATTTTTAAAATGCATTTTTACTTGTCTGTTTTTACGTGTCTATTTAGCATTGCAGATTTAATGTCAGTTTTCATAAGTCAATGTTTATGTCTACTGGATAGCTTAAAGGAGTGACTGCTCTTCTCATTAAGTTGCTCATTGATTTTTAAAAACCTTTTATTTTGAAATAATTGTAGATTGATAGGAAGTTCAAAAATAGTACTGAGAGGTTCCTTATACTTAGTTTTTCCCAGTGGTAGCATCTTTACAACTACAGTACAGCCATCAAAGTTAGGAAATTGATGTTGCTACAATCTTCATTAGTTTTTAAAAAACATTGTTTTACATTTCATAGTAGCCCAAAAGTTTATGATACAAACACATGTGAAATCTATGTTAAACTCTTTTGTCTTTCAGCAATTTTTCCAGCTAGTCAAATTACGAAAGCTTGGACTTAGTGATAATGAAATTCAGCGGCTCCCTCCAGAAATAGCAAACTTCATGCAGCTGGTGGAACTAGACGTGTCTCGAAATGGTAAGAAAGATTCCACTTGGGTTGGCCATTTATCTCTTCAGATGCTGGGAGTGTTTTTAGTGAATACAGCTAGATAAATATTATTGGAGGTGCTTTCCCTGATAGTCATTGGAAAACTGTATGATTCTTGGGGTGAAATTAATGCCATTTTTGAATAGATCAGTTAACTTATAGGCATTTTCCAAAAAAAAAAATTTCATAACACAAGTTTTGGAGACAGCTTTCTCCAAATAAGTTCAATCTGATTCCTAGAGTTAGAGAGTGGGCTGGGAAATCATTTAACCTTGTCCACTTATTTTGCTGAACATGATACTGAGGACTGGTGGCACGGTTCTTGTCCAGTGCTTGGGTGCTGCTGTGGCAAGGGAAACCTGCCCTGCGGAAGGGTTGGTTCCTCTTGGCTGTGTCTCCGTTGCTTGGTATACTCTCCCTGTAGTGAACAGACCTGCTTGCATTCAGGCATCTTCTGTCTTCATTTGTTTCTAATTAGGCTGCTGGTGGTTTTGCCCACTTCAATTTGTGTGGTATATTTGTGAGTTGATTTTTATTTTCAGATCCCACTATTGATTCATTTTTATTGAACATTTGAATAGAGCATCCTAATAGATACCCCAATGGGATACTCAAATGCCTTTCATTTTTAAATGGGTACCTTGGTTTAACCCTGAGTTTTATACCGCTTAGAGGGCTTCCCACATGGGCTGGTATTGCTCCTTGTTATAGCATATTTGATTTATTAAATTAAAGTAGCAGCTCCCAGTGGTCCTATCTACTGATGGAATTCAGTTCTTGTAAGGACCCTGGTATAATTTCCTCACGATAGTCTCAAATATGGTCTGAATTATTTATTGAAAAGGTAATTCCTTTATTTATCTCCTATTACATCCCTGATTTATTTTGTGTTTTGCTTTTGCTTTCCTACAAAAATCTGTAGGTTTCTTCTGAATCGATTATCTTTAGGTCTGTATATTTCTGTCTGATATTTTTGACAAAAACCCCAGGTCCCAGACATAGTATTCTTTTGTGGGTCATTGTTATAATGCAGCAGTCAGTACTTGGTCGGAAATATGGTGAAGAAAAAATGATTCCTCCTTTCTGCCAACTTCTAATAGGTTTTAAATTGCTGTTATCTATTACATTCCATAAATTAGAAACTGTCTTCTGGCTTAGCCATGTGATCGTGACATACTTTTATTTTGCATGAAAATTATTTCTTACTTTGAAGGTACTAGAAAAAGTAAAACAAAACAAAACTTTTTTTTGGGAGAGTGTCTTGTTTTAGATGGCTTATTTGGTTGCAGGGAACCCAGATCTACCTAGGTAAAGTGGATTTGATTGTACGGAAGTAGAGGGTGGAGGGAATTAACATATACCAAAAGCAGTGGCACCAAGCTTGCATTTGACACTATCTTGAGGGTTTCATGGCCTCTCTTTTCCAGTGTGTCTGCGTCTGTTTGTGGGTTCTCTGTACTTCCCTCCTCAATGACCTGCTCTGTTGTAACTGGCTTGTGGTGGCCTCTTTTTTGTGATTTCTTTTTACGTACAGTTTGGCTTTTGCCCCTGCTGCAGCATTTGTTTGCCAGTGAAGGATTTCTCAGTGAAGAATGGTTGACCCAACTTATCTTTTTATGCCAACTGTAAGACATAGAGTACAGGTCAGGTTACCAGCCACCCTGAAGGTTGGCTGCCCTGGGAGGTGGATGGCAACCAGTACAAAGCATGGCCCTGCCCCTCAGCTCAGAAGGTGTTGATGAGCAGCTTCGCTTACGCTGGAGTATGGGGTGGGGTGGGCATGTGGGGTCTGGCCAGGCCAGAATTGCCTCAGAAACTAGCCTGTATAATACTTACCCGAAGTATATGTGATTGAAATGATTCTCTTGTCTTAGCAGTTATCTAAGTTATAAACAATGACTAGCTATTAACTCTGCAAGGAAGCAGTGACTTTGTAAAATGGTCACAGAAATCACAAAATCTGAAGAAATACATAGCAATTTTGAAATGGGGATTAGAGATAAACAGAAATACTTAAGAAAGACGAAAAGTTTTGGCTCTCACTCTTTGAGAGGAAGGAAACCATACAGCTCAAAAGTTCCCAGTCCCGTAATTAACTCTAATGGGATGCTCAGTGGAAAGTCAGAACTGGTCAGCCGCCAGTTTTACCAGTTCCCACATCAGCTCTTTCAAACACTTGTAACTAGAAAGTAGGGCTCCATGCATCTTCCCGTGTGTCCGCTTTTACCTTCCAGCACGTTGATAAAAGAAACTAGTCTTTCACTGAAGGCAGTATCAGAACACAAAAATGTTTCTGCTCCTTGAGACACCTACACTGCTTTTTTAAATTTTATTTTTTCCCTCAGTTTCAACCTTTCCTTCTGCAAGTGTTCGAGTTTTGTGAAGGATCCTGCAGAACATTCACCTTCTTACCCAGCTCTCTTAGAAATGCTGAGAGGGAGTTAACTGTTCCCTTCCCTTCTTGGCAGGGCCTGGCTCTGGCTCAGTAGCATGATGTGTGTGGTGGATGTGGGGGTAGAGGGGAAGACAGCATGGAAGGTTCGGGGCTTTCCCGGAGGTTGTTAAAAGAAAGAATGAACCTGGGCTGGGTGCAGTGGTTCATGCCTGTAACCCAGCACTTTGGGAGGCCAAGGCGGGGGGATCACGAGGTCAGGAGTTCGAGACCAGCCTGACCAACGTGGTGAAACCCCGACTCTACTAAAAATACAAAAGTTAGCCAGGCTTGGTGGCACGCGCCTGTAATCACAGCTACTTAGGAGGTTGGGGCAGGAGAATCGCTTGAACTTGGGAGGTGGAGGTTGCAGTGAGCCAAGATCGTGCCATTGCACTCCAGCCTGGGCAACAGAGCAAGACTCTGTCTCAAACAAACAAACAAACAAACAAAAGAAAGAATGAATCTGTGCAGATGACAAAGCAGAAGAACAAGGTCACTATTTACTGTAACCAACAGGTATAGGGGTCTTAGGCCATTTCTTGGTCTGGCAGATCTCAGTATGCTTCCTGTCATTTTTTGGACAGATAAAATCATATCAATCTGAATACCCTAGGCAAGTGAGTAGGCAAATAAAAGTCACAAAGCCTGCAGCTGGAGAGTTAGTGTAAGAACCTGACTTTGTACAGGTGCAGACATTTGTGAGGGTTTGTGACTGGTGCCTAGAGGCCTGTGTGGGCCTCTGGTCTTCTGTTGCCCCACCTGACAGTGCCCACTTTTGGATCAGAGGCTGTTCCTTTGGGTCCCTGCCCAGCCTCAGTGGTTTGTAGCAGGGTTATAACCAGGGCTGGCCACAGTCATGATAGGACCTTCCTTAGTTCTTGATTTTGCATTGCTTTGACCAGGGAGGAGAAAGTCCATTGGATTAGTGCTTGTCATACTTCAATGTGCAAGGAATTATCTGAGACTCTTGTTAAAATGAAGATTCTGATGCAGTAGGTCCAGAGTGGGTCTGAAGATTCTGCATTGCTAAGAAGCTCCCAGGGAATGCCAACCCTGCTGGTCCCCAGCCACACCAAGAAGGATCTTAGACATCACCACCTGCAGGCTTGCTGCTAACTTTCCTTCAGCAGCTTCCTGTGGTTAGGAGCCCACATTCACTCCCTTCAGGCACCCCTGCACCCTCCCATGGAAGGTGGGAGATCTTCTGGTCATTCCTGGTTAAAGGGTAAGATGCTAGAGCTGACTTTAGCTCAAATTTGCTTTGATTCTAAAAGCAAAACTAACCTTTCTGGATGTTTCCTTGCTCAAGTGAGGAGAAAACTCAGGTTTTGCGTTTCTCTTTAAAGAGGTTTGTAAATGAAGAGAGAAGTTTTTACAGGCTCATTTTCTGGGCCAAGAAGAACTGCCAAGACCTTCAAACACTGACTTTTGTGGCTTTGTTTTCTGACATTTCAGGAGCAAAGTCAAGGGAATTGTGTGCTGTGTTGGAAAAGAGAAGCATGAGTTTAGGGAAAAAGAGGGCAGTGCTTATGGATTATCTAAACTGCAAGGATTTTTTTTTTTTTTTTTTTTTTTTCTGAGGGACAAGTAGAGAGCTTTGGGATGAGCACAGTGCATATGGTCTCTTCCCCAGAATGACTAGATGTGCTCAGCAGAGAGGACCCTGGCTCGGAGCCCTGGCTCTGCTGTCAGCACGCGGTCGACTTTGGGCAGGCCCCTTCTGATGCCACTGGGCCTTGTTTTGCGGAGTGGGATAAAACCCTGCTCCCTGTATGTGCCCAGTGAGAGTCGAGGAAAGCGACACACTTCTCATGTCTTAACTTGGTGGATTTTTTTTTAAAGCAGGCAAATGTCTAAAATATATATGAGAAGAAAAAAAGTAGGTGTTTCCCCTGAACATAGAGTAAAGGATGATTGGAGTATATGAACTAGATATCTGAATTTGCTGGTAACATTTTGTCTACAAAAAGCAAACAGACTTAGAATTAAGTTCTGCAGCAGTTTTCTGTGGTGAAATGCATATGCTTCAATGCTTGGACCTTATATCTGCTTTCTCTGCTCACTGATTATTAGCTGCTTGAGGAAAATGACCTCTGATTGTGTGAGAAGTGGTATTACCTCTTTGTGTGAGAAGTGGTATTATCGCTGGCTGCTTGAGGAAAATGACCTCTGATTGTGTGAGAAGTGGTATTATCGCATAGTAGGATCTTGCTCTTCAAGAATCTAGGGCAGACTTTCTTAATGCTTCATGATTCCTGCCTCAAGGGTTAGTAATTTGAATTTTATAGTCTATACTGTAATTTGACTTACATCACAGTACTATATCATTATCCATTTAGTTCAGTTTTCCCCAAATTGTAAGGCGTATACTACTAGCACTGCTAGAGATGATTTTAACTGGTGCTGCAAAACAGCAATTTTAAATTTTGAGTCATGGTGAGAAAGTTATCCTTTTAGTTTCAATTTTGTTCCTTTTGGATTGCATCTGTAAAATTTGATAACACTATATTGTATTTGCTACATTTATCTTTTATATCTAGTAGTGATAATAGCT